CTGTTCCTATGCACCATCCACTGCCTCGCTGTGCTGACAGCCACTGCTTGGTCTCCAGAAGCATACTGAAACCACACCACATCAACAAGCACTTCTGGTCGGGCCAAAAAGCAGGCAAACCAACCGTACTCCTCAAGTGAGGAAAACAACTGAGCAAAACCACAGAAAAATGCCACTAATTTTAAGCGAGACTTTGCACTCCAGAAAGGCGTGAATCCTGCGCTCAGCCACGACAGATTAGCAATGCCAGATAATTTCATTACCCAGAAGAGAACTGTTGCTGCCAGCCTCAGGAAGGGGGCACTACGCACCGCCTGCACCAGCCAGCAATACCTGCATTGACTGGGCTCTACTGGGATTGTTGGAATGAAGGATGGAGTAGGATCCATCAGAGAGCACCACTCTCCCCCATCCAAATTCACCGAGAGCTGTCAGCCACTAACATGGCTCATTTTTTCACAAGGCTGCATGTAAAGTATTCGTAATTGTATTACAACGCTTATATTCTTGTAACTGCAAACAGTAACTGTTGTCATGAGTACAGAAGGGCAATCCGCATACAGCATGGAACTATCCAACCAGGAATTTATTAGCAGTAAATTGCAAACACATACAGATACATTTGCAATCTCCTTCTCAACCCAGAGATAACCAATGCAACGGGGGAACGGCTGTTTACAAGGGTGGACAGTGATAGGACAAGGGGAACGGTCTTAAGCTGAGACAGGGGAGGTTTAGGTTGGATATTAGGAGAAAGTTTTTCATTTAGAGGGTGGTGAGGCACTGGAACAGGTTGCCTGAAGAGGCTGTGGATGCCCCATCCCTGCAGGCATTCAAGGCCAGGCTGGATGTGGTTCTGGGCAGCCTGGGCTGCTGGTTGGTGACCTGCACACAGCAGGGGTCGGAAGTGGATGAGCACTTGTGCTCCTTTGCAACCCAGGCCATTCTATGAATTTGAGATGCCTCTCTCCATCCCGTTGCAGCTGCACACAGACCAGCCCAGGGGCCCTGCAAGGTGAAGAGCTGAGGATGCACAGAGCTGGGCAGCCCTTCAGTGCACTGCCTGGGAGCTCCTTACAAAGGCATCAAAGCACAGAGCCACAGAAAAATCTGCTATTTCACACAGCACAACCACTGCCGTTCAGCTGGGGCTCCAGAACTGCTGCCTCTTGACAAAGGTTTAGAAAGCTTGGCTGTAAAAGAACTTATCACTAAATAAAACCAAGAGGTAAAACCTAAGACAGAGGTTAAGCAGTAGGAAACCATGGCAAGGGTCAGGTTTCCATTGTCACCCTTTGCCAGTTTCGGAAGAGCCAACACACAACAAGGGATTTTTATTAAACACGAAGCAGCACATGCAGCTTCATTCAGTGTGCATCCCTTTTTGGGGTTAGGATCATTGCAAGAAGCTCAGGTTTGTAGTGAGTGTGCAGTTCTGATTACATTAAAAAAACTGCTCAAGAACGACACTGTCATCATCAAACACTGCTACAGTGAGAGCTGCACAAAGCACCAATGTGAGCAAAGCCAAACCCACTGCTTCACCTACAGAGTTTACAGAAAATGAATTAAAAAGGATGAAAAACACCCATCAAAATACGAGTTATTTCTGGAAACAAGAAGCAGATGTTCTCCTCTGTTTGGCTCAGCTGTGCTACAGTACAAGAGTGCCTTTGTTATGCTGTCAGCAATAATGTATTTTATTTATTACAGCCATTTTATAATGCCCATCAATGCACTATTTGTGCATGATTTAGATCCACGCAGATCTAAATCTCTGTGTATGAGCTGTCGAGAAGCATCACATGCACGCTCCAAATAGCAGACTGTTATGACACAATTGTGTAAATTAGGGTTTTTTTTTTTTCCCCTTTCCACTGTATTAATAAAAAGGGAACAGGAAGAGGAGGAGGAGTCGGTATTGCCAAATCAAGTTGAATTAACATTAATCACGAATACCCAGACAAGACATAGCATAAAGTTAGGAAAATACAAGAGCTTACAGTATAAAAATAAACTCTGACTCTTTGAAGCCCAATAAAAGCAAAAAGCTTTCTGGCCATGCAAAGGCAATGTCATCCAGAGCAAAGTCACGAAGAACTGAGAGATGCCTGCATTGGGAAAGGGATCTATTGGAGCTGGAGGACAGCACGCTCATAGGAGCTCAAGGGGAAAAAGAAGGAAGAAAGAGAGGCATAACCACGCGCTGTTTTACTCTATCAGCCACTCAGACCCTACCTGCTGGAGGCATTAAACCACTCCCAACAGACCAACATCACAGCCTTCATACGGATCAGATAAGGAATTCCAGGCCTCAAAAAAGTGAAGCCTTTAATGAGAGAGCACACAGTGCCATCAACGTTCGCCCTTCCCTCCCAGCGCTTTGAACAAGCCATTTCCTCCTATGGAAATGCTCCCAAATTGCTCGTTCAATATCCCCACCTGCGACACGAGGCACAGAGCGGGGATGTGCAAAACAACACACAGCCATGCATGGAAGCACAGAAACACCAGGATTTCCCAAATCTGAGCAGTTCTGAGGGGAAACTGAAATTGCTACACAGAGCAACAAAACAGCCATCAAATTGTATCAGTGAGCATTAGCCATAACACCAGGAGCTCAGCAGAACAACCAGAGATCAGCCATGTTAACGCACCAAGCATCTGAGCAACAACACCCAAAGAAAAAAAAAAAATCAAGTGTGTACATGCCTAATATGCATAAGTTATGCACTTTCCCAATTAGCAAGCACTGGAATGCTACCACAATGCTGAAAACTTGCCCTAACAGACATTTTTCCAAACAAAAATAGTTGTTGCGCCGATAATTAAAGTTTTCACTCTGGCAAACCATCAAGATATTCTCCAAAATAAGTTGTATAAAGGTTTTAGTATCTCCCTGCTTCGTACCCTAGGTCTCACAAACGAACACATTTTGTCAAGATAAAGTCCTAAAAGTCATACAAAGAATCACAGCACCCTGAAGTGAAAACTGACGTGGTGTCATTTACCTGTACTTTTCCACGAGCTGATGCAGGCACTGCCCGTGCCACTAATCAGCACAGCCCCAGCCTGTAATTTGGGACAGCCAGGTGAGCTGCAGGATCAGGGAGGAGAGGAGCAGGAAGGGACCAACGGGGACCAAAACCCACCAAGGTGAGAAGTTTCAGCTCATCACCACATCTCAGCCACAGCTGAGGAAGAACCAGGGTGGTTTTCTCCTGCGTGCAGCTGGATGGATGCCCAGGGAGGTTGTGGATGCCCCGTCCTTGGACGTGTTCAAGGCCAGGTTGGACGGGGTCCTGGGCAACCTGTTCTAAATGTGTATGTTTGGTGGCCCTGCCAGGCAGGGGGGTTGGAGCTACATGATCCTTGAGGTCCCTTCCAACCCAGGTGATTCTGTGATTCTATGGATGCACACGGGCCTAGGAGAGTAGGAGGGAGCCCACAGCTCTGCCCGTGCACAGCTGGATGCTTCCCGGCCGAGTCACCGGCACACAGCCAGGGAGGGACACCGGGCACAGCTCTGTGCTTCCTGCCCAGCACGGGGTGTGCCAGGATGCTCCGCACCGTGACCAAACAGAAATCAAATCCCTGTTGCAATCACTTCCTGCTGTTCCCTTATCACCCCATCCCCATCTGCTGTCCCAGCTCCCAGGTGCACGGGGCTCTCCAAGCAGGGAAATGCCTCTCTCAGATCAGGCCGGTTGCTGAATGTATACAGACAGAAAGGATCCAAGAAGCAGAGCTCCTTGGCTGCGAGCACCCGCCCCGTGAGAACAGAGGCCCCAGTGCTGCCAAGCTGCAGGGACGTGTTTAACTTTAATCACAAGTAGTTGGGCTGCTCGGTGTCTCTAAGTGCCTGCCAAAGAAGGGGCCACATCAGCAAGGGAATTAAGATTTCCTTTTTTTAATCATTTTTAAGAGGTGCTGTTAGTTAGGCTAGCAAATTCTTTTTAATTCCTCCAGAATTGAGACAACTTTGCAAAAAGCAAACCTGCATGCAGCCCTGATAGCAGAGTCCATAGGAACCTCCAGAAATCTACACAAAGCCATGAAACAGAATCATTCAGGTTGGGGAAGCCCTCCAAGATCCCCAAACGCAGCCCACCCCACCATGCACACTGACCACATCCCCCAGTGCCACATCCCCACAGCCATGGAACACCCCCAGAACAGGAGCTCCCCATCTCCCTGGGCAGCTCTGCCCATGCCTCATTGCTCTTTGGAGAAGTTTCTCACATCATCCAACTCGAATCTCCCCAGGGACACAAATCCACGTGAACCCCATGCATGGCCCGAGCATCCAGGCATCACAATGCTGTCAGGTTAAAGTCACACAGCTGTACAAAACTTATGCTTTCATAGAACCATAACGTGAAACACAGCACGGTTGGGTTGGTTGGGACGTCACAGCCCCCTTAGAGCCATTGCTGCCACGGGCAGCTTGCCCCAAAGCTCAGGCCTCTCAGGACCCATCGGGCACCTCCAGGACCGGGGCACCCACCGCCTCAATGGGGCTCAGCGGGTGGCAGAACGGAGGGAACTCTGCAGACGGGAAAAGTTCTGCAGTAAAGGGGGGAGGAAGGGGGGGGAAAGGAAACAGCAAAGGGAGCAGCGGCAGCTCATCGTTACGGCAGAGCACAGCGGGCACAAATCCGATATCCGACGTCCCACGAGCGGAGGGCGCAGCCCCGCTCCGTGCCACCCAGCGCCGAGCAGGCACGCAATAGCGGCGAGAAGTTTGTTTTAGAAGGAAGGGAACCGCGGCCCCGGCCGGCACGGAGCGGCATGGGCAGCTCGCACCGCCAGGAGCGCCCAGCCACAGCGCCGAGCCCGGAGCCACGCGGGGCAGCGCCGGGCAATGGCACCGCGCCGGGACCGGGCCGTGCGGCACCGCGCAGCGGGCACGGATTCAAGAGGAAAAAAAAAAAAAGAACTGATTTTGTCACGTTTTAAAATATCAGCAAACTCGGTGCCGACAGCGCGGTCTCGCTCACCTCCTGCGTCCGCTCCGCCGGCTTCTTCCGCAGCGCCTGTTTCACCCTGGGCTCCACGGCCGCGCTCATCCTCCCGCCGTGCCCCGCACGTCCCCGGGCCCGGCACGGAGCGCGCGGCCCGGCCCCGCCGGTGGCCCCTCAACCCCGGCACGGCGCGGCGGGGCGGCGCCCCCCGGAGGCCTCCTGGAGCGGCCCGAGGCCGAGGCGGGCGCGGCGCCGGGCTGCGCTGCGCTCCGGGCGGATCCCGGCTCCTCAGCGGCGCGGCTCCGGGCAGGTGCCGCCCGCTCCCTCCGCCGCCGCTGCCTCCCGCCGGCCGCCGCTCCCCATCGCGCGGGCCCAGGCGGCAGCGCGGCCCCGCCGTGCCGAGCTGCGGGAAGTTACCGGCCGGAGCGGGACTCCCTGCGCCCGCCCCTCCGCCCCAAGCGGTTCCGCCCGCCGGCTGGCAGCGCGCAAAGCCACGCGGGCGGGCGGAGAGTTCGGCGTCACCGCGTCGGCGGTTTTTCCGACGAGCCCCGAGGGCGGAGCGAAGCCCGCACGGCACTCCAAGCACCGAGCTCGGCTCCCCTCAGACCGCCGCCGCCGTCCCGTTCCCCCGCGCCGCTCGCCTACCGCGCATCCCGCCCGGAGCGAAAAACGCGAGAGCGGGCTCTTTAACCAGAAAATCAGCGGAGACCGAGGGGCGGGCGGGCGGGAGGGGAGGGGCCGAGCGAAGCCACGCCCCTCTGGGGCTTCGGTTCGGGAGCGGCGCGGGCCGAAGGCTCGCGAGGGTTGGGCGGGGCGGGGCGCATGCGCGGGACGGCCGGGGGGCGGGGGGGCGGTTCTCGTCCCGTGTGCTGCTGGTCGTGCTGTGCTGCCTTGGGCTTTTTCCTATATAAAATATCTTCCCAATAAAGAAAGGTTTCGTCTCGTTTCGTGCCTTTCCCTGCTATTTCTTCCCGTTCTCTCATTTGCCCTCTATGGCACAGTCGTTGTATTGAAGGGCTTCACGTGGCCGTTCCAAGCTGATCGAGGATATTTCTGGTGTTTCCTTCCGATAAAAACTTGGGGAAGTTGGGCATTTCCTTCCTTCCTTAACTTTTGGGCGCTGTGCCGAGCAGTGCAGGCACAGAGACAGCTGCACGGACGGCTGTGAACTTCAGAGCCAGCACTGATAACATCTCTGATGTCCCCAACAGGGACAATGTAAGATGCTCTGTAATGACACAAAGGTCTGGACAGGGCTCTGCCCATAATATCTATCAAAATGATGGTTTTTTTACTTAATTTTGACCATTTCAACCATCATGACTATTTTTGTCCCGAAGGTCAGGAGGTTGTACGAGCCATCTGGCAGAGCACGTTATCCTTTGTCAATTTCAGGACATAAATATTGCTTCCAGCAGCGTGGGAATCTTCCTAGATCCCTGCCATAAACCCACGTGGGGGAGAAATGAGCGGAAAAGAAGTGGAACATGAAGCATTCTTTATGAAGAGGTTATTTTTCTTGTTTTTTACTTCCTGCTTTCTCTTTTTCAAACCAGAGATGGAAGAGCAAACCGAGTAATGTTCCCTTGTCAGCTCTCTTAGTTGGGAGTCAAGGATCCGTCAGTATTCCCCACATGCAGGTGACTGGGAAGAACCTCAGGTGTAACTGCAATCCGTGCTGTGCAGGTTCTTGTGGATCTGTGATGCTTTAGATCTTGATCCCACCTTCCAGAAGCACCTCATGGTGCCGCTCCATGCTGCCTGGTAGTCAAAACGATGCACAAATGGGCACTGCAATGGGAACCAAATGAATGGCCTAACAATTCCATTCTCTTTGCACACATTTGTTTCATTTTTGCACCTCAGCCAGCAGTAAAACATCGAGAGGTACCAAACAGGAACAAAAGCTTCTATTCCCATTTAATTGCTTGGCTCAACTGGCCCACAAAATGAGGCTTTCCCCACTCCAAAAATACCCAAATTTAGGCAGGTAATGGCTGTAACAGCTGCAATTATTCCAGAGGCTGTTTGAGTTGTTGGGTTTATTTTCCCAAATACCTGGAGAACAATGGAAATGAGTGTCATGATCCCAACTGCTGACCAGCATTACAGCTTATGTCTCCACATGGCAAAGCCTGTGTATTTAAATACAATTAAGGAGCTTTCACAAGCGGGTAATTCCAGGGCTGGGATTAAAGGACGTGGTCAAGCAGGATGCCTATTGTCTTTGTGGAAGAGAAAATCTGCTTCCCTTTGCTCTGGGTTGTATCACTCTACCCTAATGAAGCATTGCCACTTATCGTGTTCTCTTAAATTTATTGAGAAATAAGAATATCCACAGCCTTGTGTTCACGAATCAGAAGTGTGCTGCTATTTGTACAGACAGACTGCAGCCTGGGGAGCTGAAATGTTTCCGCTTCAAACACCTGAATTGGAAGAGATCAGCAGAGCTATGGGGTGTGCAGCCCACCCTGCTGTTTGCTGCCCTGATGCTGCCAGGATTTCATCTCACGGCTTTCACCATCCTGCACACACCCCACATTCTTCAGGGCAAAATTCAGTTTCCTCACCTCTCCCAATGGGAAAAATACACAACGTTGTACACCTACATATATTTCTGGCTATTTCTACGTCTTCCATAATTTTCTTGTTCCCGCGAGTTTTATTATGGCCCGGCTATTTCCTTCCTCTCTCTCCACTATGACTCTTGGCCTCTTGTTTTTCATTTCTTAGCACTGACCAAAATTTCCCTTCAGAGATTCACTCACGGCATTGGCGATGACTTCTGGTTAAGCTTGGCTCACAGCAAGGAAGGCACACAGACTGATTGTGTGCCTGAGGAGAGCAAAACCAAACGCCCTGGGCTCCCCAGGGTGGGAAGGAGCTCTTCAGACTGCTGTGTAAGTGCCTGCTGTGATGGTAACCCCCTGGGTGCAGTGACGGAGCAGCACCAGCGTGTCAGGTGGTGGATGCACAGCTGTAGTTTGTAGTTCTGAGCATCACACCTTTATAGGGAGGCCCCTTTTTGTCCCACTGTGCATCTGCCTGGAGTTTCAGTGCTGGGGTGATGGCAAAACTTACAAATGGAGCATTAGGAACATGAGATCTTTAACTTCTTTGTTTGTTTTATTATAAGACAAATTTTCAAGCTGAAACTCCATCTCCTTTTCACAAACACATTTTCCCTGCAGGGTGAGACCAGAGGGCCATTTACACACCCAGAGTTCACCACCACAAGCTCTGGTTTTCCAGCCTTAATCAACCAGAAACAAGTGGGAAACCCAAGGACTTTTAAAGGGGCACACAGTGCTTTACCAATTACTGCTCACTTTCCCATTCCCACTGCACGTCCCTCCTGCTCCCATCCTCCAGCCCACCCTGCAGTGCGCTGTGTTGGCAGAGGGGTCTGATAAAACAGAATAAGAACCGACAAAAACACCCCAAATCATTATAAATACCCTCTGAAATGAAGGCAGCGGATGTCCTTGGAGCCAGAAGTATTCACACAGCCATCGTGCAGCAGCTCTGCTCTTTTCTGTCTGAAACAGGTTCTTTTTTTTAATCTATCTTCTGCCGTTTTATTCTTTCCACACAAAACCTGGAAATGTTTGATTCCAGCCCCAGCGCTTTGCTGGCAAACACTAAAAGCACATATGGGCCCGTCTGGATACTGGAGGCATCCAGCAACAGTCTGCAAACGTCCGGGCTCTGAGCTGCAAGAATGAAAGGCTGGGAGGGGGGAACTTGTCCCTGCAGGAAGCAGTGTGGAGGGGTTCTGCATTTGCCTTTCCTTTGTTGTTACCATCGTGTTAAAGCCTCAGCTGAAGGGTATTCCTTGTTTGTGGGAAGCCATGAGAAAAGGGCAGGTGTGCAAGGAGTTGGAAAGCAGGAGCCCTCCTTCCCTGCAGAACTGCCCAGCCGGGTCAACTGATTCCAAAAGTGCTCATTAATTCATTAAGAAGTCATCTCAATTCGTTTTGGGTTCCGCTTCAAGTTGTGCATTCCTAACTCCCAAGGTGGTTTCGCAAACGCTGTCAGTTTGTGACTGCGACCCGTTGTGACCCAGAAAGAACATGCAGTGAATTGGCGATGTTCTGCCGTGCCGTTGTTTGCAGAGGCGCGGAGCCAGAGCCTTGCATAACTCCGTGCTGGAGATGGATGAGGTGCTGCAGGGTCGGTGGCACGGAGCTGTGCTGGGCAGCTCGCTGTGTCCCTGCCGCTGGGCTCAGTGCCGCTGCTGCGTGCGGGGCAGGGAACGCCGTGCCACGTCCCGTGGGAGGTGTGTGGCCGTGTTTGTGGCTGTGCACAGGCTGTCATTTGATTGCACAGAAATGGTGAGCAGCTCCCGAGGCTCGGAGCGGGCCGGGGAGTCAGGAATGTGCCGTGAACTCATTGCAAAGCTACGCAGGCCAAGATTCCCTCGCTCGTCCTCTGGTTGTGGTCACATTTCGATGCTGTTGGCCTTGTTTTCGGGATGAGCAGAGCACTAAAAGCAGCTCCCACTGACATAAGTGGAACACCGGGAGCTCACAGCTCCTCCACGCCGATGATTTGTGTCCCCACTTGTCTTCAGCAGCTGCTTTTATCATTGCTCCGCATGCCGACGGCCATCCTTACTCCCTGCAATCTGTTCCCCGGCACTCGTTGGCCCTGCAGAGCTCACAGCTGTGTGGTTCCCCTGCAGCCATCCGGGCAGCTCAGGGCCATCCCAGGCTGCACAGTCCACAAAGTTCCATTCCCTGTGAGTTGTCTTTCACCTCCCAAAGCAGAAGTGAGCAGCGCGCTCACGTGGTGCCAGCAGTGAGCAGAACAGAGTGCCTTCTGCAGGCAGAGCCCTGCTGGTTTAACTCCCAGCAGAGCTGCAAAGGGCTCCTCCTCTCATGGGGAGTTCTCCCATCCTCCCTGCTGCACTTCCATCCCATGGCTGATGCAGCGCTCTGCTTCCCACTGCAATGCTGTGAATTTGCAAATGGGCAAGGCTCCATCAGGTGGGAAAGGAGCACTGGCAGCGAGGCAGGAGGGATTCGTTGTCACCAGCACAGCCCTGCTCACAGCATCCCCTGGCTGCTTGGTGACTGATGTGTCCCTTATGTTGCCCGTGGGCAGATCCTTCCCACAGATACCCACGCTGCA